CACGATAACTTTGGAGTCCTCAATTCCTGCCCGAATGTCATCAGTCACTTTCAGGAGTGCAGAAGTTGTGCTATGGCCAGGCTTAAAGCCCGATTGAAAAGGGTTATGACTAGTAAACATTATTTTTAAATACTAAGTTTACATAAGTAAATTTATTGTTTTTTTTTTAATGCGGGAATAAATGTATTTGCAATCATTAAGTACCACATAATATTCTCCAAATTTTTACCTACCGTGTAGTGAAATTTTCAAGTCGAACCATGTTATAGTGATACAGATACAAACAAAACAAAAAATAAAACTTTAACTGCGTTTTTCTCAAAATCAGCAGAATAGCTCAGAACAGCGAAATAAAAAATCCTTAGGGTCATCATATTGTTGAGTTACGAAACTCAACAATATGATGACCTCAAAGCTAAAATAGAAGACCTTGAAAAAGAGCTTAAAACGGAACGTCACATAAACCAGCTAGAAGAAAAGGTGGAGAATTTATAGAGTACACTATACATGACGAAATTAGAAATGCTCAATGTCCCTAAAATGGTAGGAGAAAGTCGAGAAGACCTAAGACAGATAATTACGGAAACAGCAAATGTACTTCAGATGTCATTAGAATGCCATGATAATAAGGACTTTTACCTCGTAAACAAGAAAGGTGGAACTGGTGGTTGACTTCACTTCTATTACTACTAAAGAAAATGTTTTATAAAAGTCGCGACACTTCAATAATACAAACACACAAAATAAATTGAATACAACCCAAATAAATTTGAAGGGCGAAGCAAGACCATATATGTGTCGGAGTGTTCAACACTGAAGGCACAACGGCTATTTTACATTACTCGAAAATTTGGCAATGACAACGGTTTCAAGTTTTGCTGGACCTCATTAGGAAAAAAAAATTCACGGCAATCTGAAGGAAAATAACACATACTTTTTAAAAGCGAAAAGGACCTCAAAATCAACTTATTGTTAGAACAATGACTACATAAATGTTTTTATTGCTATGTTCCGTTTTTTAGTGTTTTTTTAATTTTTTGTTTACATTTGTTTGTCTACAATTGTAAAAGATTTCTACACACACTACACATACATACTAAGAACAAACAACCAAAACAACACACACACCCTCAATCATTACCTAGGTATACTTAAAATCTGCTTTCCAAAGCCCAAACCACAGCGTCCAATGCGACGACCAACAGTTGCACGCGGAATTCGGTACACGCGATCTTATATTTCTCGTGGCCGTTGGGCCACCCCGTAAACACCGAGGAATAGGGAACGGGAAGGAGGGTAGAGAAGGCCACTAGGAAGAAAACCTCTATAAAAAATTTCAAATTTCAAATTTCAAAATTTCAAATAATTTATTTATAGTAACAGTACAGATAGTTTATGAAGTCCCTGACTTCTGTGCTAGGTAAACCTGTGTTACAGAAGCCAGTGCCCTCTCCCATTATAGTAACATACATTTTGTTTTATGAACTAAAGTCGCAGTACAATAATAATTTAAACTCATAAAAAGAGTGGGTAGATAATAAAAGGAGATCGGATACCTATGTTATGTGTGTTTCTAAGTCGGTATGTGTGTGTGTGTGTGTGTATGTGTGTGTTTGTGTGTATGTGTATATGTTATGGGGACGTATATGTGTGTAAATGGTTGGGTTGCTTTCGCGGAGCATTTCTAATAAAGTGAGTCTCGTGAGAGTATGGTTTAAGAGGATAAGCGGAGCGGAAATATGTGGGTCATTATTTGTAAGGCAAGTGGATTTTTATGTAATTGTTATTATGATTTTCTCAGTTTCGTCGTATGTCACAGATTGTAACCATGTTTTAAGTTTGTTTTTAACACTATGCAAACTAAGTTTATAGATGGGAAGAATTTTGTTAACTTTGTTATAAATTCGGCAGCTCTGGGCCAAAAAGTGTCTTCGTGCAAGAGCAGTCTGACAAGTAGTTGTTTCACAAACAGGAAAACCGGTACGTTGACTTGAGAGATTTGTAGTCAAGGGCAGCATTGTGTGTCTGCGTACGACAGAGCGCAAGATATATAGTTGTCTAACTGTCAAAACTTGGGCATCCGAGTAAAGTTTTGTGTTGGGATAGTCTCTCTTTTTAAAATACATGGTTTTAAGAGTTGCCCGTTGGGCTCGTTCCACCCCAAGCATCACCGTTTTAAAAGTGCCTCCCCAAACTGGAATACAGTATCTAATTATTGATTCACACAGAGAACGATACAAAAGTGAAGTTGTTTCCACGTCCGCCGAATATCTAAGTTCCTTAAATACGTACAACAGTTTGCGGATCCGAGAACAGAGGTTATTGGTGTGCTCCCGCCAATCCAATCTCTCATCAATGTGGACCCCCAAATATTTAATATCTGATACCATAGTTAGAGAAGGGCAGTTACATGATAAGGTATCTAAACATATGTGGGCCTTGATGGATTTAGAATCTGTAGGTGGTTTCGAAGAATTTGATAAAAACTGTATGATTTTAGTTACGTTTTGGTTACGTTTAGTGTTAGCAAATTCGTGGACAACCATTCCATCACAGCTTGCAGAGAAAGTTCGGTTGAGTGCTTGGCACCCACCCAGTCCTTCTCGCAAATTAGAAGAGCCGTGTCGTCAGCATAGGTGAAGATGTTGCAGTGATTTAGAGGTAGTTGACAGAGGTCATTAATATAAATTTTGGAAAAGGGTGGGCGCCAAAACACTGCCTTGTGGTAAGCCGTAATTGAGTATTTCCTCGTCACTGCATGACGCATTGATTTTAACGCACGTTCTACGTTCTCGTTCACGGCTACGTTCCCTAAGGAAGTCCTTGTAGATATTCAGGGCCATACCACGTATTCCCATACGCTCCATCTTCTTGACAAGTCTAGGAATGGAAACCGTATCGAAGGCCTTGGTTAGGTCTAAAAATACACCATAACATTTCAAGTGCTTATCCAATTTATCGACTAGTGTATTCGCAAAGTCCGAAACCGCATCTTCCGTAGAAATTCCTGCCCGAAAACCATATTGGTTGCTTGCTATCAAGTGGTTCTTGTTCAGAAATTTTTGTAGGTTGGTATTCAAAATATTTTCAAGAATTTTGGAAAATCCGGTAAGCACTGAGATTGGTCGGTAATTGGAAACATCCTCTCTCGCTCCACTTTTGTAAATCGGATGTACAATCGCTCGCTTAAAAGCGCTAGGAAAGATACCTGAATCGATTGCACAATTACAAATGTGAGCGATGATAGGGGCCAGAGTATTTCGAGACAATTTTATAATTTTCGTTGGGATATTGTCCCACCCGGTAGCGCAGTCACTTTGTAGCCTTTCTATCAGTGCTTTCACAGTACCCGTATCAACAAAGGGAACACCTAGAGAGCCACAAGGAGATGAAAGAGAAACAGAGCTAATAGGTGTAAATTTTGATGCAAGAGTCATACCAATACATGCAAAGTATTTGTTTATATTATTAAGACATGTAGCAGGGTTGTCAGTTGATGGATTGAGTAGCGCATTAGGGGATTGTCTTTGCCGGTTGCTATTGGTGATGGACTTGATTGCTTGCCACGTGGCCCTTGGATTGTTTTTGGCTTTTATCAATTCAGCTTTTTGGTAGGCCCGTTTTAACTTTTTAACCAAATCATTACAGTAGTTACGATAGCGCTTATATGTTGTTTTTAGAATAGCGTCATCGGGTGATAATCTAACCTGACGATGCATTTTGTCACGATTACGGAGGCATCGGACTAATCCCGCTGTCATCCAGGGTTTAATTATAGTGTTGCGGTTGGAATGGTATATATTTTTAGTATGTTTTGAAATCACTGTCTGTATCCCCGAGATTAATAGATTAGTTGCCAAGTTTGGATCTGAAGTGTTAAGTACGTAATTGAAATCGTGTGCATCGAGTTCTTTTTTTATAGCATCGTAATCATATCGGATTGATATTTTTTTCAGTTCACATTTTAATGTTTTGTTTTGACCTAGAAATATTGCAATCGGAAGATGATCGGTTATATGGGTGTCTAGTACAATAATTTTGGCTGGCGATTTCGATCTCATCATGACATGGTCTAAACAATTATTGATTCTGGTTGGCAAAGTATGTGCAGGTAACAATCCAAGCGTAGCTGTTATGTTTAGGTAGTCATTTGCGTGTCGATCATTATTACCTGGCTTAATATCGATGTTAAGGTCACCTATGAGCATAACATTATTGTAAGATTTCAAAGATGTGACTATTTTACTTAGGCTGGTGTAGAAGTTGGTGGGGTTTGAATAGGACGGGGATCGATAAATTCCGACTATCGCTGTATCATTGTAGCAGCAGACCAGGCAGTTGGCGTCAGTTATCTCTGGCTCTTGTATGGAACTACATAGAGTGGTTTTGGCGTATATTAATACACCATCATTTTGTTTTGGGTTGTTTATGGTTTTATATGCAGTATAGCCCTCCAAAACGGGAATGTTACTAACTGTTTGCAGCCAACACTCCGTGAGGATTAAGAGATCGAATTTTATCTTTGTTGTGGTTAACATGGTAGTGAATTGGTCAAGGTTCTTTTTGATGCTCCTGATATTGGTGTGTATGATTTTTAATTCATTATCGCAAAATCCTGTGAAATTCTGACATTGTTCCGGTGTCGATAAGTAGTTGTCCGCAACTGAGATTGTATCTAATTCATTAGAGATTTCATTTATGTTTATCATTTTTAGTGTGAGAATAGTTCGGTACAGAGAATGAGACAGCGTGGAATTGGTGATTGTGATGTGGATGCGATGTGATGTGGTGGATGTGGTGTCTATGCGTTATGCCCTGTGTGGTGTGCGGTTTTTCCGGGTTTTTACAATTGTGTGAGTATTTTGTGTTTGGTTTCCGATTAGTGAATAGGGTTTGGTAAATTAGGGATTTCATGATATTTACAAAAACATAGTAGATAGGATAAGCGGATCGCAGCGGAAAGTGCGTGGTGACAGGCAGTCTTCCGTTTGACATGCTAGTCATTTTTCGCCATGAAGGTTATCAAGGTCGGTTTCGCTTTTTATAATGTAGTGTCGTTCTCCATCCGTTTTACGCAGCAGAACCTTACCGAATGATGTCCAGCAGTACTTATACTTGTGAGAATCAGCAAAGCAGCGAGCAAGGTAATAGATGCGCTGCGTTTTCGGTGTTAGTTTTTCGGCCACAAAGATATGTTTTAAGGACCCATTAATTTTCAAATGCGTGGTATTTAACTTGTTCTCTTTATTTGCTTTATTGAAATCACGGGCCTTTTTAAGGATATTTTCCTTTGTGATAGCGCTATTGAAATCAACAGTAATAGTGTTTGAATCCTTTTTGTTTTTCATGCGAAATATATCTTTAATATCAGTGTCATCTATCGGACATCCAAGAATGTTTGCGGTCTTGGTGACTATAGCGCACAGATCTTTCTTGCTTTCTTCTTGTTTCTGCGGCAGATTCCTTATTTCGATTTTGGACGAGCTTAGTTGCCGCTCCATATGTTCTACCCTTTCTTCTAACTCGCGGATGTATCGACGATCATAATTGCGTTCAGATTCCAGGTTAGATAATTTTATTTTCATGTCGTCATATTCTTTGGAAATAAAAGTGAGAGAGTCTTTTATCTCTAAGTTCTGTGCAATGATTTCGGTAATAGCCTGATGTAGTGAGGATAGCTTGCTATCTGTTTGAACGGTTGATGCTGACAACATCGCGCGGATTTCGTCCAGCCCCGACCGGCAGTCGCAGTCGTCGCGCTTACGCTTCAAGCGAGTTATATTGCGATCTCCTCCCAAAGTCGAAAGATCCGGGGATGATCCTGATTGAGGGAATTTCCGGTTCTCGGAAGTGGAACTTCCTTTTTTGTCATCTGGGTGAGAAGGCTTTGGTGGTGTTCTTTTTAAGGGCATGGTTAGTATAATAATAAAATATGTTACCTAAATTGTTTTGTATGAGGTAAGGCTCCTTATCGATGACGACCGTCTCACACACTCTGTCCGTCACCCGCTGTCGCTTATGTATTATGGCAAGCGCTCTGCAGTACAATGCTGTCCCTTTCTTACATCGAATCCACGTTCCTCGCTGCGTTATGCACGCCTAGTACTTCGCGATGATGATTTAATAACGAATTTTTATGTAAATATTATAATTTTTTGCGAATAAATAAAAAAATTATTAGAACGTTGTGCGGTTCCACGTCTATACGCTATCGCGGTCCGGAGAGAAGGAGAAAAATCACCCCTAACCCAAGCTGAGGAAGCCCGGGGAAGAGGTTAACGGCTGGGGGGGTATCCCAGTCGCTAGGGCAACACAGCGTTAGCTCACGCAAAAGAGCAAAATAATAATGGACGCCACTAAGAAAAATAAATTACCCCAGGAGGGTACCGACCGCGCCGCGGTCGGAGAATTCCTCAGTACTCCGGTTGAGATCGGAGTGTTCAGCCCGCCGTATTCTGGGGGGCACAGTTGCATGCACAGAGGTGTCCGAGTCTGGGCACATTACCCTTGGCGCACACGCCCAGTTTTGTGCGTCCCAGAACGCCGAGTCCGGCGTCTTCCCGCGCCCAGTCGGGCGAACAAAGAAAAGGAATTGGTGAGCGCCAACTACAGAGCTTGTGGAAGGCCCAGGGAACGAGTGGCAGCGGGGGATTCCTCTCCTCGCGGTCTCCTAGCGGTCATCATATCCCCGTACGGGCAAACCGAAGGGACTGGCGGAAGAGACCTCGAAGAAGCCTCACTTCCCTTCGCGGCACCGTGCGACTAACGTGTGACTTCATGTGCTAACAATTTAAATATTGTTTTCTGTTTCTTCTGCGACTAGTTTCCGGCTTGCGGGCGGCTAAAGGTTGTGTATAGTGTTTTAAAGAAAGTCAGTAAGTTTAACAGTAATATAGTGCTGAATTATTTTATTACGACTATTGGTGAGTAAATTTATTTTCTTTCTAAAAGTGGGTAGGAGGTATCCTTTGTTTATATTGATTTTTCTCTGCGTGTTATTTATTTTTAAACCTGTTCCTTTTGAAATTGTTGTTTGGTGTGTCTTTGTTTGGCTATGTCGGTCGTTAGCGAGTTGCCGGACCCCGGCGGTACAAGTGAATTTCTAACACCAACCGGGAAAAGGACATTTATCGAAATGTCACCTACGGATTTCTCGCCGAAAGACAGTAGCCGTAGGCGCGTTATTAATTCGGACTTAAGTGGTAATGTTTCGTCTCCTACCGGTCGTGATAACTGTGGGGAGTACAACTACTGTGACTTAGTATCACAGGCCACTGATTATTTGGCAAAAATTAATGAATTAGTTAATGATCAGGGTTCTCGGATGAATGTAGGTAATAAAACGGCGATTATGGATATTACTCAACGAATTACCGGTATCGTATCTTTGTTAGCAATAAAATCCTCTAGCAACGAAACAAAGTTAGCGAATTTTGAGCGACAAATGGAGGGTATCGCAACTCAACAAACGAGTTTAACGTACGCGGACAAACTTAAGCTTCGATTACCACCTAAATCTGCTCCGTGCCCGGTACCTACTGAAGCGCGCGTTCCTAAGCCTTGTGTTATTGCCTATCCCACTACGGAAAGCTTAGCGGACTATGCGACCTCGTCAGCAACAAAACAAGCTCTCATGAAGGCTATTAAACCGAGTGATGAGGGATTTCAAATTGTAGGCGTTAAAAAAACCTCTAAGGCAGGCGTCGTGTTACGTGTAGCTAACGAACGGCAGCTTAAGAAACTGGAATCTGTGGACGCCATTAAATCAGTAGGGTTGCGCTTAGAAAAACCGAAAGGCCGTAGGCCCCGTATAATTGTAAAAGACGTACCCGGTTCTATGGAAGATCGTGCCTTCCTAACAGCCTTATACCGTCAGAATATCAAGGACGAATTAAAATTAAGTGAGAACGATTTTATTAAGTCAACCAAAATTGTTAGGCATCGTAAACTAGAAAATGGGCGTCAATGGATAGGCTTAGAATTAGAGGCAGCAGTTCGGAAACATCTAGCCAACACAAAAGATAAACTTTATATAGACTTGGCCACATGTAGATTCATAGACGATATAGAAGTAGTTCGTTGCTTAAATTGTCAGCAATTCGGTCATGTACAAAAGTTTTGCACCATTAAAACCCTTACTTGTGCTAATTGCGCCGCCGCACACGAAACGCGAGCTTGTCCAGATTTTAAGCCCACGTGCGCACAGTGTAAGCGGTTCAAAAAACCATCTGACCATCGATGCGGCTCATACGACTGTGCCACATACAAATTAAAACTGGAACAGCTAATATTAAATACCCATTACTGAATAGTTTAACTTAGTTTAAAAAAAAAAAAAAAAAAAAAAGTTTAAAGAGTAACTTACTAAGTAATGAATAATATTTCGATAGGCCAGTTAAATCTTCATAACGATAAAATAGCTACATCAGAATTAGACCGTTTAATTTTAGAACAAAAGTTAGACATTGTCCTTTTACAAGAACAATATCAGAGCGCTCACTTGCGTCGTAATGTAGTACAGCTTGACTGCCGTTCGCAGGCTGGGATATATGTTGCAAGTTCTAATTTTACGGTAACATCTTTGCGTAATCTTATGACGTCACACTGCGCCGTTACTGAGATCTCATCCTCTACCTGTAAGGTTTACGTAGTGAGCTGCTATTTTCAATATTCACATCCTATTGATCCTCACTTACATTACTTACGTTACGTTACTTACGTTACGTCTTGCAGTTCCTCGTGGGACACAAAATTATCATTGGCGCTGATGTCAATGCGTCATCTTCATTATGGTATGGCAAGTTGCGTTCAACCGACACGGTTCGACGTTGTGCGGTTGAAGATTTCATTGCGGAAATGAATCTTATTATTCACAATACCCCCGATGCACCACCAACTTTTTTCAACCCAATGGGTGAGTCTTCTATTGACGTGACGCTTACGCGCGGCGACGTCTCAATATCCGGATGGCGTGTCCTTCCGGACGCATCCTGTAGTGATCACCGCTTGATCGTGTACGAATTCATACCAAGGGTTGCACAGGATCCACAAAGAGCTCCCTATAATTTTAGATATAAAACTAAAGGTGCGAACTGGGCTTTGTTTGGTTCACTCTTTGCAACTCATACCAAAGACTTCAGTCGCAGTAGTTTATCAGCTGAGGAAAGCGCAGAAATACTATCAGAAACTTTTACATACTGCGCTGATGTAACTATTGGTCGCGGATCTATCACTAACACTCGTAGATGTGATTGGTGGAATGATAGATTAGCCGAACTACGTAGAAGCTACCGGAAAGCTCGTAGAAAATTAAACACTATTAAAAAACATAACGTAACAGGAGATTTGTACAACAATGCTCTCATTGCTCTTAGAGTTGCCAGGTCCCACTACAGAGCTGCTGTGGAAAAATCCAAGGGAAACTTAATTCAGAAACTTGTTGATAAACTCGATAGAGAGGGCCCGTGGTCACCTTTGTATCACGAATTTAAGGCAAATAGATCAATCGACCTTGCATACATACAGAACATCAAAATTAATAACAGATATACCACAGGAGTAGAACAAACAGCATAATATCTTTTAGACTCACTCGTACCTGACGATCGACCGGAAAACGACACTGATCATCATCGACAGATCAGGCAGTGGGCCATCGAACCACCACTATCTCCAATGTCTGATTTACCATCTTCAGACGAATTTCTCGGTATCATTAGATCCTTGCCGCTAAACAAGGCTTCGGGCGATGATAAAATATCTAACAAAATGATAAAAGAAGCTTGTAAACTTTCGGGTGACACGATTTTCACTGTCTTTAAACGTTGCATTGCTGAAGGAATATTTCCTCGTATATGGCCGTGCGGTAATATTCGTATAATACCAAAAAGTGGCGACAAGCCACCGGATGATCCTAAATCCTACCGACCAATAACATTGTTACCATCGTTAGGAAAGCTTTTAGAACGTCTTGTAGTGCCCCGGCTTCTGCCAGGTGGAGTCAAATTTCATGATAGACAATTTGGATTTACGTTGGGTAAATCGACAACTGACGCTGTTATATCGGTTAGAAAGTTTGTCACAGGGTCAAAATTTCAATACGTGCTGGCTATTTTCTTAGATATATCTGGCGCCTTCGACAACGCATGGTGGCCCATGCTGTTGCTGAAATTAAATCACGGGGGTGCTTTAAAAATATTTATTCCCTTATCTCTTCGAACTTTTCACAAGGTACAACTAAACTAAGACTTGGTCATCATTCTGTGTCGAAGGCGCTTACAATGGCATGTCCTCAGGGATCGGTGCTAGGTCCATACTTGTGGAATATCGGCTTCGACACCACAGACGGAAACCCATCCGGTAGAGGAGGCAATGGAGGCCTAAAATTCCCGCCTCCACATAAAGTTTTACAGGGCAACCTAAACTACTGCCGCGCAGCGCAAAATCTGCTTATGCAGACTTTAGGGTTAGGTTTTGGCCACTTTAGAGGTTATCTAATATAGTGAGTACCCTAATTAATCTTGGGACAATTAAATGAAAGGTAGACACGTATTCGCGTAAACTGGTTTAATTCTCGACTGTTAACGGCGGGCGCAGCCGCCTCTAGGTAAGCATATTTTGCTCACGCTAACTGAAATGTACACTTACATATTAATTATTACATATTACAGGAAAGTAAGTAGGTGAGATACGTTGTGTCCCTACACCATTTCCCTCTTTAAATTTCTTCGTAAATTGCGGTCATCCCTTGAGGGAGCCGACTCGAAAAGTCGCGTAAAGACTGGAATTCTTAATTATAATGAATGGTAGTCATCATAGCAGCCTACTCTCACAAAAAAATACACCCCTTAGAGCCTGCAGTACCCTCTATGGTGACGCCTGCAAAATACATAAACATATACTGCACGGATGG